GTTAATATTTTGACTAGCATATACAGGTGTTCTCATAAACTTTGAGAGGACTTTGCATTCTCTTCTCTTCTTCCACCCTACCCCAGTGACCCTCTTGGTTAGGGGTTGTTAATATGGGTTTAGCTACCATGTTATAGACATGAGTGCACTTTGTGAAGAAATACAATTCTAGCATTGAACCAAATTACTCGGCACAGTTCATATGACATTTACTAATTTATAAGCTGATGTATTTCAGTCCAATATATCAATAAGTAGCACATAGTTTACTGTTAATGCTGTCAAGTTTTATCTTAGTACTAGCTAGATAGTAAGAGCCAGTGATTAGTGTCACTTTTAATTCATTCATTAGGAGAGGGAATCTCTCCCGTCAGTTGTTTTTATCGCATTTAGGTTTGCGTAGAGTACCGCAGCTATACCGCATTGTGCTCTTCAGCGATTGTTTCATGACTACTTATATTCTTATCACACCTAAAAAATTAGTTATGATTTATCTGAAGGCTCGTTAATCTGTTATTAGCAATTGTTAACAGTCAATTCCTATATAGTCTCAATGTGTATGTCGCACATATATCTCAGTAAAAAAAAAGATTGACATGAATAACTGCCAGATGTACATATAATACCATCACATCTGTAAAGCTCGCATTTAAGGTCAAAGTAGATGAACTAGAAGCAGAGCTGACTTGGTGAATTTAATCAATTCAGTAATTTTGGCCTTTGCATTTTGGACAATTCTCACTTTAGTGAATAATCCTGCATATATACACTGTGTGTGCTTTCCCGATTACTGTCTATATCACAAATAGTTTGCTCTAAGTATATATTTTTTGAGTTGGGTTGATTTTTGAACAACTTCCACCAGCCCTCTCTCCTTTTCAGAGACCACGGCTAGTTTTTTGTTAGTCTCTTCCTTTTTGGTCTGAAACATAGAAACATAGAATGTGACAGCAGATAAGAGCCATTTGGTCCATCTAGTTTGCTGCAGGAAGAATGTTTTTTTTAAACTCATTACTCTTGCGTGCATGAAATATGGGAAATGAACGTTCTTTTAGTTGGAGAAAAGAGGTGATCGTCTGATGTCTCCTGACTTTACTGTAGAAATGGAAGAATGAGTAGGCATTCTACTAAGCATCTTCACAAAGCAGAAAAAAGTAGATTTTAAGAAATTTGGCAGTGGTTTGTTACATTGTTCCTTACTTTATTTCCATAAAGTTTAATATTATTTTCTCCTTCAATAGTCAATCCATTGCACTCTCAATACTACAGGCGCACCTGAAAAGCATTCTGTCGATGTAGAAAAAGACAAAATAAATAAAAATGCAGATTCATTGTCTTTTGATCCGTCCACAGTTGGTTATGTATGGGTACAGATATCTATCCAAAGCAGATCTAAAATCTTTCTGCTTCATAGCACAAACAAATATGTCTGCACCATTGCTGATCAACATTTCATTCCATAGTTGTGGATGTTAATATGGAGTTGGTCCCTTTGCTTTGCCTGGATTTACACATTTGACCTACCTAAAGAAAACTCACTTCAGTGGCCCTTTCCAAAAACTTAGAGGAGCACTAGGGGCAAGGGAAGATCTCCCAGTTCTTCCTCTGACTGAAAAATGCATTCTTCTACATAGTGAGTGGTTCGTATTGATATTGAACTTGTATAAAAAAATAAATATTCATGAATACACAGAATAATTAAAAAGGTGTGACAGCAGAAAGGTTTACAGATACCTACCTACCCTCCCTGATGCCAAATTCAGCCCTTTTAGCTATGACACCTTCTAATCTCATGAGAAAACTTTTCTCAACATTGCTGTAGGGATTTGCTTTCCTTCAGCCATGAGAGAATTAGTGAGTCTGAACCGGAGCTGGCTTTGAATCAACATTCCAATTTATCCCAAGATTGCTCAGTCAGGTTGAGATCAAAGCATTGGGTCATCCCAGTAAAGTTCATCATTTCTGAATGGACCTCACTCGAAAAAACAAAACAAAAAAACAACCCTATTTAACCGTGACCTGCAGCGAGTCCCAGTAGGAATTTTTTTTCCCCAAGTAAGTTAGTTAATCTTATAAGAGCAGACATTAGGTTGTTAGAGTAGTACCAGCCAAGAATTGGGTACGTTGATGTTGGGGCAGGCTTATGCAATGTATGATCATATACTGTAACTGAACCCCCATTATTTTTGCCTAGATAGGTGTTTTTTTTTTAAAAAAGGGGGACGGGGCCTGCCCACCATGCTGACCAGTCACATGGGGAAAAGGCTCCTGCAGAAATTGACCTTTTTCGACCAATAATCAGGGCTTACAGCCTTAATCCGAGCCGGAGGGAAACAACACTGTGCTGGAGCAGAAGTTGGCACAACAGCAGGCTCTGGGATCAGGAGCCTTGGGGCCCCATGCGTCAACGGGGCTTTGGAGCTTGCGGCCCTCTTATAAGAGAGGCGGGATGGACGGCCGCCACCCTGCCTGCTTACCTGGTTGCCACACGACGGCTCTATGACACAACCCACATGCCCCCCCCCCCTTGGACCAGGGAGGATATCCCGGTCCCCACTGGAGGGAACCGAGGCGATCTTCACCGAGGCCTGCAGGGTGCACTCCCATGCCCGAATCTAAAATGGCCGCCACACTGCCTCGTCACCACGCGGTCGCAGGAGAAACCCCTCACCACCGCACAGTGACTGAGTAAACCCCCGGCCCCAGCAACATGAGAAACCAACTACGGGTTCCACCTGCCCAAGCCTCAAGCCAGGCGACACGGCACCCCACATGTCCATTGGACCCGGGCCGCCACCAATTACATACCAGGCAAAGCCTTAAACAGCTGCTTGTCTAACGGGGAGAGAACTGATGAGATACACTTCCAGCCCCCAGCCGACCAAATACCCCATTGCATGCAAGTTCAATACGGGGAGAGGAAAGGGATCCTCCCACATATCACACGGGATGAGATGGCCCAACAACAGCATACTGCATAGATGGAGCAGGAACCGGGGAATGGAGTGACATGCGTCGAAGAACCCAGTGGAGATTATCAGCTTGTGTCTTTACCTAACATGCTTTCTTTGCGTTGATTTATTCCTTGGACACTGACAGCTCAGATAGGTACCATATGTAAAACAAGCAATTGCTCATGCCAATAACTACCCTGCCTTGTACTGGTCTGGCTGAAACCTTTAGTCTAGCATAGAATTACTGTACATTACCTGTTTAAGCCTGATGCCAGCCAGCTACATTTCAAGTATCATCTAGTGCCCTCACCCTGTATATACACATTGTAAGCTCTACCTATATTGACACAGCATAACAACCCTATGTCTAACTAGTACAGCAACGTTACTTTATGTTATAAGCAAGATTTAGCAAGGTTTACCTAGCATGTTAACCCACAGGTTACAGGATTAACCAGTTTACTAAACGACCAAACGATGAGACAAGCAGATTTCCTGTGTAACCAGGTTCTATAACTAACAAAAAAAAGTGCTATGTACGAAAGCCATGATACTGTAAAATGTAAAACATGTATTACTTCATTGGCTTGGACTAGCTATTGTGGCTTGACAAGCGTGTGTGTTAAACCTAAGCACTGCAAAAATAAAGAAATAAAAAAAAAATAAAATTAAAATCTGTAAGCTTTGAAGTTGCTGTTTAGTGGATGAGTGAGTGCGCCGGATCTTGTGTGTACTACAAAACAGAAAGCATGGAATCCATCATACCAGTTGCACATAGCTTTCCTTTCACTTGTATTACATTTTTTATGCCACATACATTAAAAAGCATTTAATTGCAATAAGGTGGTACAGGTGAAGGCCTCAGGGCACACTGGACTGAGGGGTGAAATGTCTGGGTGACCAGCAAAAGGGGAGGGTACAGCTCTCATCTTTCTGCCTGTCACTTCATGTAGTGTGGTCGCTCAGACTGTGGTAGAGGATATTATTTAGCTGCTTCCTGTCAGACTAGGTAGAAGAAATAGAAGATCCTCACTACAGTCTGTGTGGCCATGCTACAAAAGCATGCAAAGAGGTGAGAAGAGAAAAGGACGGGAACACACACACAAAGGGGTTGAGGGGGATAAGCAGTGTGTGTGTGTATGCAAGGGATGCATTGTGTGTTTCTGTGTGTAAGGGAGGCAGTGTGTATGTAAGGGATGCATTGTGTGTTTCTGTGTGCAAGGGAGGCAGTGTGTATGTAAGGGATGCATTGTGTGTTTCTGTGTGCAAGGGAGGCAGTGTGTATGTAAGGGATGCATTGTGTGTTTCTGTGTGTAAGGGAGGCAGTGTGTATGCAAGGGATGCATTGTGTGTTGCTGTGTGTAAGGGAGGCAGTGTGTATGTAAGGGATGCATTGTGTGTTTCTGTGTGCAAGGGAGGCAGTGTGTATGTAAGGGATGCATTGTGTGTTTCTGTGTGCAAGGGAGGCAGTGTGTATGTAAGGGATGTATTGTGTGTTTCTGTGTGTAAGGGAGGCAGTGTGTATGCAAGGGATGCATTGTGTGTTGCTGTGTGTAAGGGAGGCAGTGTGTATGTAAGGGATGCATTGTGTGTTTTTGTGTGTAAGGGAGGCAGTGTGTATGTAAGGGATGCATTGTGTTTCTGTGTGTGTGTGTGTGTGCAAGGGATACATTGTCTTTTTGTGGAATGGATGCATTGTGTCTTTCTCTGTGTGTAAGGGAAGCATGGTATGTGTGTGTGTGTGTGTGTATGTATATGTGTAGGGGTGCATTGTGTGTTTCTGTGTATTTATAGGGATGCATTGTCTGTGCAAGGGAGGCAGTGTGTATGTAAGGGATGCATTGTGTGTCTGTGTGTAAGGGAGGCAGTGTGTATGTAAGGGATGCATTGTGTGCTTCTGTGTGTAAGGGAGGCAGTGTGTATGTAAGGGATGCATTGTGTGTTTCTGTGTGTAAGGGAGGCAGTGTGTATGCAAGGGATGCATTGTGTGTTTCAGTGTGTGCAAGGGATGCATTGTGAAGGCAGTGTGTATGTAAGGGATGCATTGTGTGTTTCTGTGTGTAAGGGAGGCAGTGTGTATGCAAGGGATGCATTGTGTGTTTGTGTGTAAGGAAGGCAGTGTATATGCAAGGGATGCATTGTGTGTTTCTGTGTGTAAGGGAGGCAGTGTGTATGCAAGGGATGCATTGTGTGTTTCTGTGTGTAAGGGAGGCAGTGTGTATGTAAGGGATGCATTGTGTGTTTCTGTGTGTAAGGGAGGCAGTGTGTATGTAAGGGATGCATTGTGTGTTTCTGTGTGTAAGGGAGGCAGTGTCTATGTAAGGGATGCATTGTGTTTCTGTGTATGTGTGCAAGGGATGCATTGTCTTTTTGTGGAATGGATGCATTGTGTCTTTCTCTGTGTGTAAGGGAAGCATGGTGTGTGTGTGTGTGTGTGTGTGTATGTATATGTGTAGGGATGCATTGTGTGTTTCTGTGTATTTATAGGGATGCATTGTCTGTGTGTGTGCAAAGGCCTCTTTCTAATTAGGCGATTAAGGCGGCTGCCGCCTAAATTGCCTAAGGGTAGACTTACATGTCTGGGTCCTCTGTCCATGACACTCCCACACACACTATCACCCCTTTATCCCTGCCACACTTACTTTAACCCCTCCTGATCCTATCACACTCACCCCCTCCACTCAAACCGCACTCACCTTCCCTCGCTCTGCCACACTCCCCCCCAATCCTGTTACACTCACCTCTTCTCTCACTGTTACGCTCCCCACTCCTCTTCCTGTCACACTCCCTCCTCCAACCCTGCCACACACACCCTGTTGCGTTAAAACTTCTTATCCTGTCACATACCCCCATTACTCTGCCACTCACCCTGTGAATTAACCCCCTTAATCCTGTCACATTCATCTCCCATTGCCCTGTTAAACTCACTCCAATAATGCTATATACACCCCAACCCTGTGATACTCACCTCTCCAACCAAACCAAATTCACTGTCACATAAACAGTTTAATCCTGTCACGCTTACCTCCCCTCAAACTGTAACACTCCCTCCTCCATGTCACAGATGCCCTCCCTCATCCTCACACTCACCCCCAACCCTATCTCATTCACCCCCTCATCCTGTCAAACTCACCCTGCCACAGTTTCCCCTTTACTCACCCTGTCACAGTCATCCTTGAAGACAATCATCATACACACATAAAGTCATAAAACATAGCTTCGCCATATAAAAGTGCACAAAGGCCACAGGCAGCCCCCATATACACAAAACACAGCAAGCAGCTACCACACACACATACGGTCCCAGACACAAACATACACATGCTCACAGAACATGTGACTATATGTTTGTATTAGTCAATATTTGTGTCTCTGTGCATCAGTGTGTTTGTGTGTGTATGCATGTGCATGTATCAGTGTGGATATGTATTTGTATATTAGTGTTTATGTGTGCATGTATTAGTGTGTGTGTGTCTGTTTGCAATGTGGTTGTGATATGAATGCAAAGATAAAGTTGCAAACAACATATATATCTCATTGATCTCATTGATCATTGATCTCATAGTTTTTGAATATCTCTCTCTTCTTTTTTTCAAATAATTTGTACCTGTATATAAATTAATTTATATATAATTTTCTCTCCCCCTCTTTAAGAAGAAAAATTATAAAAAGTATATTAATGGTTTATATGTTTAATGGTCTAATATTGCTATAAATGATGATTACAAAGATAGTTTTTCTTTTCTTTTCATTTTATGGAAAGTATTGTAAATGAGTTCTTAATGGAGTTAAGAGTTTGTTTTTTGCCAATAATTTGTTGAAAAAATACATTACAAGTATTGGCAATTTCTGCCGAAACCGGAAGATCGAAAACCGGAAGTGATGTCACCGGAAGTTCCGTCATGACGCCGAAACCGGAAGTTGCGTCAGAACGTGAACCGGAAGTGAAGGACTAAGGTGTAGGATGCCATCCAGACCCGGAAGAAGATCAAAGGAGGACACAAAAACGTGCAAAAAGGCGCCAAAAAAAGGGCGCCAAAACGAATATTTAAAGACTGAAGCATACTGAGGAAAACAGACTTTTGATAAAGGCTCTAGCCGAAACGTGTTAAGTTTGTTTTTATATAGTGGACTTTTAATTTATTTTACCCAGTGTTTTGTTTTTACCCCTTATGATAGTGTGTCCAATAAAGTTTTATTTTATTCCCTGCATCCTGGAATATTTTAATTACAAATAGAGACCACAAAGGGGAAACAGCCTGGTGTGTGAAGTACCACAAACGGATATTTTCTACGCTTTTAGTCTGAGCCAGCTTATTTTAAGTGGCTCATGACCATGTGAGTGAAACCTTATTTGTTTTATAAATTTTAAGGTTTTTTACATTATTACCCTATGTGTGTTTTTTTCCTGTTCTTACATATTTTATACAGGAATTAATTAAATACGGAGTATATCTTTCAACTAAGGGTAATTATAAGTGTTGTTTGGAGTGTGCCCTCACCTATTTCTTATTGTATACTGTTTATTTTTATGTGTTTTGAGTGACACACATATGGTGATAGGAGCACCTCTCTTTGTTCTGGATATTTTATTATTTTAGCCTTACACTTTTATTCACTTTTATATATATTATATGCATACATACATATACAATACATGGGGAAACAAATATACGATAATATACATGTAAAGGAATTTAGAATATGTGGGGAAATGTCTATGACATTGTTTTCTTATCTGTAACTTTATTATTTGGAAAAAGATTTTTTAGAAGCCCAACCAAAATGTTCATTTTTCAAATAACCCCTTCACACTAGCACTTATGTATACTCGACTCCCAGGCTATACAAACATACCCAGCAATCATGTAATGATTAGCAAATTATGCCATAACTACAGTCAAAGTGCTCACAGCGCTGCGGCATAGGGAGCTGCGACAATGCAAGCCTCTGAAGATGAATACATCTCTGTATCCAAAGCTGCAAGCTCGCCCTTCAATGGTGTTAGTGGGGGGGCCTCATGTTTGAGTTTCACCTAAGGCCTCACAAAGTCTAGAGCCGCCCCTGTGTGTATGTATTGTGAAAGAGAAAGTTTGTGGGGTAGGATAGGGGCTCTTCATTTTTATTATTATATTTATTTTGTTAATATAATCTTTTTTTAAATGTTTTGCGTCTTACATCCCCCTTTAGTGTATCTCTTACAAGGCCCTTGTTTGTCTCTTATCCCCCCTCTTTGTATGTCTCCTACGTCCTCCCAACTCTTTGCGTGTCCTACTCCCCCAGCTCCTTTGTGTGTCTCCTTCCCAAGCCCCTCTGTGTCTCTCTTTCCCCCCTTCCTTAGCCTCTCTGAGTGTCTTCCACTCCCTTGTCCCTTAATAATCTCTTTCATCCCCCCCCCATCCCATGGTGGTCTCCTTTCCTCCCCCTGTCCCTTAGTGCTCTCTCCTACCCCCGTCACTTAGTGCTCTCTCCTACCCCCTGTCCTTTAGAGCTCTCCCCTGCCCCTTAGTGGACTCTCCTCTCCCCTACCCTTCTTAGTAGTCTCTCCTCTGTCCTTCCCCTTCCCCCCCCAGTGGTCTCTTCTCCCCACCCCTGCTGGTCTCTCCTCTTCCCTCCCCTATTGGATGCAAAATGCATCATTGCCTGTGTAGTCAAAAATCCTTGCACCGGCTCTGTGTATTTATGCATGTGTGTTTGGGGGGTGAAGGTATGTGGGTGAAGAGATAATGTGTGTGAGGGGTGCACTGTGTTGATGGGAGTGTACTGTAGGTAGGTTCACTGTCTGTGAGGGTGTACTGTGTTCAGGGGGGTTGTAGGGAGTGGGATAGGAAAGAGCATTACAATTTTTACTTTAATAATTGTTAAAAAAAAAAAAAGAATATTATCCTTTCCCTGATCTTACCTTGCAGGGAAGGGGTGGCACAATCAGTTTCGTGCTCTATTGTAAGACAGCATGAAAAATCACTATATAGATAACAATTAAATATTGTTCTTTAAACATTTCATCATGATTGATAACACTTGACCAAAAAATTACCAATGTTAACTGCTTTTGAGTTGCTGAAATATAACTATGCAAAAATCTGCAGCACAAACACTTTAAAAGCAAAAAAAAAATATATATATATATATATATATATATATATATATATAATGAATTTGCATACCTGTGAAATGGAAATAAATCTGACTAATTGCAATTTAAAACTCGCTAAATTAATAACAATATTTTCAAAAATCATATTCAAAAACCTGTTACCAGTTTTGTGTACTAAATATTTCATAAGCCTCCGTTTGAAAGAAAACAACAAGCCTAGCAATGTTAGGCTACGGTTACATGATTTCCTCCATTTGGCCAGCAACAAAAATGAAAATATCTCTGGGTATATCATAGATTGTAAGCTCATTTGAGCAGAGCATTCTTTACATCTAAATATGTCCTTTTTCAATTCTAGTAAAGCATTGCAGAATGTGTTGGCACTTTATCATTTTCATTATTATTATTATCATTTACAAACCACCAACAAATTCCACAGTGCTGTACAATAGGTGGACTAATAGACAAGTATTTGCAACAAGACAAGTTGGACGTACAAGAAAAGAGAGTATAGAATTCTAAAATGAGCTAGGGCAGGGGTCTGCAACCCGCGGCTCCGGAGCCGCATGTGGCTCTTTTACACCTTTGCCGCGGCTCCGGGGCGGATACTAGCGAGGGGAGGAGGCGCATTGTGCACCCCGACACTCCCCACTGTGGCGGGCGCTGTACTGGCTGTGACGTCGCATGGGGGTGGTGCGTGCGTTAGTCACGCACCGTCCCGATGTCACCTTCCCGCCCGCTGTCAGATCGGAGGGCAGCGGCGCGCATGCAGGTCTACGACTGCGAGGAGGAAGATGACGTCCGTCCAGACTCCCGTCAGCAGCAGCGTGCCAGGCACCAGTGTGAGGTAAGTGAAGTGATGCGTCTGGGGGGGGGGAGCCCGGCCCACACACTGCATTGAAGGGGCATGTATGGTGGTCTCTGCATATTCAGGGGCATGGAAGTGAAGTGATGCCTCGGGGGGAGCCCGGCCCACACACTGCATGTATGGTGGTCACTACATTGTAAGGGGCATGTATGCTGGTCACTACATTGTAAGGGGCATGTACGGTGGTCACTGCATTGAAAGGGGGTATGTACGCTGGTCACTGTTTTGAAGGGGAGTGAAGAACACACACACAAAAAAAGGTAACTTGTTAATTTAACGTTTAT